GCAAGTCAATTAAGCTTATTTTTAATAGAAGTAGAGTAGACGTGATTTACCTGTACAGCGATTAAATCACCAAGAGCTCCTATCCACACACCCCATACACTTGGAGTGGTCATGATTTCCAGATACGGTATTGGGACTTCCTCTTCTTCCGCCTAAATTGCCGAGGATTACTAACAACATCAACCAGAGTGGTAGCGCTAAGACAGTAAAAAATCAATTTTCATGTATAGGATAGATTCTGCAGCATCGCTAGACCAAGGCAGGTAGCCGGGTAGCCACGTTTTCTCCATGAATCTGATACGTCCGAGCAACCCAGCTCCATTCCACTAAGGTGAACAGGGGCAGTACCCAATCCTTCCCTCAGGCTAGAGGAACTGAAGAGTCCTTTGGATTTCTCAGTCCCTTCACTTGCCGCACGTGCTTGCTTTTACACACATATGCATTACAAGTATTCGCTTCCACAGGGCGACTTTTGTCGAGAAGACAAAAGAAATTTAGAGGGATTTTTTGCTTTCCCTAGCCTGGGAGAAAGATAAGGTGCGGTCTCAAAATGCCGTCAGATTACTCCTAAAGGATCGTCGCATCAAAATTGACATTGCACTCTTCGAAGAAACCAAGATAGAGGAGGTTCGTGACACAAGGATAAAGAAAAGCAAGAAAATCGCTTAGAACCTTAGAAATTCCCCTTTTGCTCACTGATTTGCTCTTTGGGCGTCTCTCATCGTGCTGACCTGATCAACGAAAAGGCTTTCTCAACGAGCAACTAGAGTCAGACTTCGAGGCACTAGACCGGCAGCAACACAGGTATGGCCCTGTCAGGCAGCTTGGGGGATAACCTTTGCTACGAACCCGCATCGTCCTGCACCTCTGGAGGTCCGCCTGTCTTTCCACTAGGTATATTTCCAGTTCTTCGATTTCCGACCTTATCGTGGAATCATCATATAGGTTTATACAGACACGAGTGCTTGTTTGAATGAAAGTGCGTGGTGTAACCCAAAGGACCACTCAGCGCCGACATGTGCTCCCATACTACTTCGTGTATTCCCACGAATGGACTGTCATGGCGAAAAAAAGGATAAATGTGATAGTATTGTATTCTCGGTTTTATTGTATTCTGGGTTTACCGCCGTAATTGAATACTCAAAGCACACGTGGTGATGGCCTCGAAATCGGCCTCACAAACCCTCTTTGGTGCTCTCGATGCTGTCTGACGTCGCGTTTGCCACTAATTCTGTAACGACGGAACTCTTTCCTCCCCTCCTAACACGGAAAGTATAGTTTGGCGGGTTTGGATAGGCCGCTTCTAGTAGAGGAACTTCAGCCTCTCAAACTGAAGCTCTCAAATGAACCAAGACGACGGGTCCCCGACGCAGAACAGAACCGCTCACACCATCAGACTCCATAGCGCCTTACACGAAAGAAAATGTCCCCCCCCCGGATTCAATCCCCCGAAACTTGCTGAAACCCCCCAAACTTGAACATTCCAATTCACATGCATTCAGGCATTAGCATTGATTGAATATATGCACGAATTTTACTGCTAGCAGAGGCATGACGGTTTCTAAATCACCATGAAATTGGGAGCTGTTGAGCATTATCCTATTGCAAAGCTTATGAGCATCGTATCCCAAACTGACCAAAACGCAAAGGACTCACTCTAGGCAAGCCGACGTCCATCGTATAATAGGGGGGGGAGCGGGCCCGGCCCCCAACTCATTTGGAGCCCCACGGATGATGCTCTGGAAGGACTTTGGCATAATCGGTCGAGCTTCGCGGGGCAAAGCAAAGGACAAAATGATTGAATAATGTGTCCAACCGGGGCTGGTGTATAAGAAGAACCATCCAACGAAAGCAATGAAACAGATCACGGAGTGGAGGTAGAACACTGATTCCCAGCCAAGAGAAGACGAGCACAACTGAAAATTGAACATTGAAAATTTGACATCGAAAAAAAACAAGAAACAGAAACACTGAAAACCACCTAATTGTGCCTCCTAAAAGAATGGTATTTTTCCCTGATATAATTTGTATTCTCCCTGTGTGCTTGTGCGATTTTACCTCTTTAAATTGAATAATAGTATGGAATGGTCAGTCAGTGAACGGGAACCCGCATAGTTTATAACTCCCCAACAATATATTCCGCCACTCGCTTAACCCTTCCCTTTCTAGAAGGACACACCTCAGAAAACTTTTCTGTCTGCTAAGTATGTGACCTCCACTTACAAGCTTTGGAAGTAATCGTCTCTCTGCTGAAATCCACGAGTGGCATCTGGTCCTTACCTGACCTGCCTGTTCCACGAGGGTGTCGGTATACTCGTGTCCCGAAGTTCAGGCAGGCTTTCCCATTGCACCTGGTTGTGCTGGGCACCATTGCCGACTGGTGCAGGTAAGGTACCTGGTTACACTCAAAGTCACCGAAGTTTGAGATGTCTTCCTTAGCTTCTCGCTAGAGGGTCGGCAGTGCTAATTTTCCCTCGTGCTGCTATCTTTTTGAATGCAGGAAAGGGAATAGGTTTGCAGTAGTCCTTTTATATCGTTGTTTTTAATAGTTTCGTGAAGATAATAGGGCTACCGTCCTCATTGACTAACCACAATGTTTTCTATTGTTTGTTTGTTTATAGGCGCGTCAACTGCACGCATGAATAAATAAATAAATAAATAAATAAACTGAAGGCGAAAGGGTTAGTGACACGTGAGCGCTAACCACGCAGCGGTCGGATCAAATCTAGTCGCCCGGGCCAAATCAACCTGGCCATCCCTCCGGCGTCGTATAATTGGCCAAGTTCTGGAGGATAAAAACCCCTGACTGTACATCAAATCCTTGTCGATAAAAGTCGCCCGGCCCAACCAAGGTCCTTCCAAACCGCGGTAACCAGAACTCGAACCGACTCGTAATTGGTACCAGACTTGTCAAAAAACACTGACTTGTACATCGGCTGGCCCCCGCAAGTCATTGTATAGGCCACATCGCATTCAAAAGCCACTGCGAATGTACAAATGGAAGTAGAATGCGTGCCGCATCCCAAAAAGGGATTGATCAACGGCAAATGCTTTATCCTTTATCCTTTAATTCGTATAAGGTGTTATAACAGCTGGAAAATCTTTTGAAACTTGCCTTTAGTTTTTGGAATTTTAAAAAAATTTGTGAACTTTTGGAATTCTTTTGAAATAAATTTTGGTGCCTCTTTGTGTTATACAACATTTAGGTCCTGATGAGGCTCCGGGACAGTACACTACTGAAGTGAAATTGAACGAATCAAATTAATTTCCAAAAACTCAACAATTCCAGAGATTCAATGAAATCAAGATTGGGCAAGACTTACAAAAGATTCCCGAACTTTTTTGCTTAAATTCGATTACACGCTTTTCCACCTAATTTCGGAAGACTTACATTCTTATAAAGCTATTATAGCAGTTCAGATATCGTCAGATAATTTTCCGAGAGTACACTTAAAGGAAGCGATTACGATAAAGAGGGAGCGCATCGGGGAAGCATATGCACCACACGAAGCAGTTACTTGGCTGCCAAGGAAGCGAGATGTGGCGCTTTCACGACGAAAGGTGCGCTGGTTGCTGAGCAGGACTTCGAAAGCACTCCGCCCCAAAAGCGATCCGCCCACTAGTTTAGTTGGTGATTTGGACGAGCTGCGTTGCCAGCAGCGGCACAACTGGAGCAACTCGATGGAGCATGGTTGGCATGGTGCCATCATACGCGTTGGTTTGGGATGCGGCACGCATTCTACTTCCATTTGTACATTCGTAGTGGCGTTTGAATGCGATGTGGCCTATACAATGACTTGCGGGGCCAGCCGATGTACAAGTCAGTGTTTTTATCCTCCCAGACAAGTCTGGTACCAATTAACCGACCCCGGAGGGATGGAAGGCTTGGTTGGCCCGGGCGACTCACGACCCAGGATTTGATCCCGGACCGCTCGCGTGGTAAGCGTGCCACTTGCACTACACCACTTCCCGCCCTAATGATTTAAGGTCTTCTTTCGTTCAAAAGGATTCCTCTGAGAGCAGCTTTAGTTTCAAGGCACAGGGACAGGTGTGCAGTAATGACATGACATATGCAATGGCCCAAACAAAAATAAGACAACAAAAAAATCTCTTATCATAAAATGGCGTTACTGGTTACCTCTCCGGAAACGGGCATCGCAAATACAGCACTGATTTGTCCAAAAGTAGTCAACGTAGACATAAATAGTCCGTGCTGCCTCAGTGAAGCCCACGCTGCTGTCACAGCTCCCACCGTGGGCATACATGACGCACAGGCTATACCCTGAAAAAATTACCTATTGATTTTTAATTAGTTATCCTGAAATAATTACCTTTGTGTGGTGGTCTACTGTTTAGTCCAATAGGATCGTTTAGAGATAAGCTTTGGTCACAGTAACAGGTGGGTAAAGATATGATGCCTAGCACGACTCCGAAAAGAATCCTGTCACGTCCTTTCTCGGATTTCAGAGATCTCCAAGGATGTCACTTGAATGCTGCTGCTACCCTACAGTTATCACTATGAGCATTGAGATTGGAGGAGAGAACAAACGCGCAGACGAAATTGCTGGGGCGGGATTTGCGAGCGCAGTAAACTGCACGGGCGAAGGAAGCTTCCACCGCGTGGCTGCGCAACTTAGGTCCTCGAAAAGAGCACATCTGCAACCTTGTGAACAGATTTTCTCACCACTCGAATTAAACAGGCCCATGATACAAGTTCCATG